CCCCAAAACCCCAAAACCCCAAAACCCCAAAACCCCTAATCTAGATATAATTATTGAGAGATATTTAAATTTTAAGCCCCATTCATCATACTAAGTTCTTTCGTCGTTTTCATCCTCACACCTACTTTAGCAGCTCTTTCTGAAATCTGATGGTATTCATTGATGGAATAGGAGAGCCAGTCCTTCCCTTCAAATATGAACATCTTGTTCTCAAATATCTTGTTGTTATTTCAAAAACTTGATGATGTACTGGATCAGTAGTCCCTGGTACTTTTCAAGATCCTTACAGATCATTCTCATTCTTTGGGTGGTTGTACGAGCATCTTCTCTGAAGTCATAGTTGACATTTACCAGGTTCTTTGCCTTTACTTTAAGGATCTTGAAGACCCTGATGCATTCAAATATGTTCAAAATGTCATTCCTGGCGCTATAAATCAGCTGACACCTGAGTAACAATTTCAGAGTAGCCACTACATCTATCTTTTTGTACATCTTTTTGATCTTCTTGAAGGTATTTAGCTCCATTTGGTCTTCATAGATCCATCAGAGTGTATTCATAGCTGTTTCATAGAACGGCTTTATGGATTTGTCATAATTTTGGGATTCATACCTGTTGCGTACGAACTCATAGACCTCTTTCGACTCTTGCTCATTGTAGAAATTGTAGCTCTCGCCTTCTTGTCGGTTATACTTCTTGTAGCTGAAAGTAGGATCAAATTTAGAATTTTTGAGAGTTATTCCTGCTTTAGCATATTCTTCATACAGTGGAGTATTTGCCCAATCCTTTTGATGATCTCTCTGAGAATTTAAAGGACCAGAGTCTTTAGACTTTTGGGAGGCTGATTCTGAGGGATTCTTTATATTTTGAGGTATGGTTTTGAATAAATCATTGTAAAGCTCCTCAACTTCTGAAGGAGTTTCAAATTCTGGGACATCCTTATTCTCTTCTGATAGAGGAGATAGATAACTTCCGTCGAGTCTTACTGGGCGGCTGTCAAGTGAATGCCCACTTAGCATTGTATTAGCAGGGAGAATCCTCTTGTTTGGCTCTTTTCTTCCTTTGTTGTCTATAAAATATAATTGATCAAATTACATGCTGGGGCACCTTCTGGATATGATCTCTCAGGACCAACCATCACTCCAACTTTAGGATTTTGTACAAAGTTTGGATTTCTTCTCCTAGACTTAGTCTTTGCCTTTGTAGACTCTTCTGATGGCCTTCTATTATAATATCGTTCTATACATTACTTCAAACTCATACCTTCCATATAAGAGCCACTGGACTCAGAGGGATTTTCTGATTTTTCCTTCTTGTGTCTGACTCCTTCAGGCACATAAGGTTGATCAAGCAGAGCCATATTTCTTTCTTGGTCCATTTTCTGCTTGTTATGGAAAAAGCTGCTTGATCTTCCCTTCTTATTCTGTTTTATCTTCGCCTTAATATCGTCTAGATTTGGAGGAGGCTTCACTACGCTCATTCTCTCATTTTCAGATGAAGATAGCTGATCTGGATGCGAGCTCAAGCTTTCAGGTAATGAGAGGAAAGACTGAGGCTCTGAACTTGCACTCTCTGACTCTGGAGCAACACTTTCAATTGGAATTGGAATGACAGTTTGACGCTCCTCTTCTCCTGACTCTCCAAGCTGGTCAGGATGGGAGCTAAGACTTTCAGGAACCGATTGGGTTAACGTTCTTTCTTCTGTTTCTTCTGACTCAATTTCAGGATCTAAAGAGTTAAGGTTAGCACTTGCTAATATTAATTTCTCCCTCAGTAGATTCTACAGTATGGTATGAAAACTGTCAGCTAAAATCAATGAGGTTTGAATCACGAGAAATAGGTCTGTGGTAATGGTAATCTTCAACTTCGTTTGCTCTGAATGGACTTAGTAGTGACCCACTCCCAGCAGATTGGCCTCTTGAAATATATTCTGGGTCAGCTTGAATTTCCTTCTCATTCTCAGAACGGTCTCATTGAATGTCTATGTCCTTGAGGGGTTGCTCATCTGCTTGGATAGATCTATTATAATTGTCTGCATCAAATTGGATTCCTTTATTTCCAACTGAGATATATGAGACTGGAGTTAGAATGGAAGTTCCAACTTGGTTACCCTCAGAAGTTACAGATATTGCTGACATCTGTACTCCTTCTCATTTTTGAGGTTCAGGGCGAATCTGGAATCCTTCTGATTTCATCTTCTCTGGACTAATTTGTAACCCTTGGGATTTTGTAGAATCTGGATAAATTTGGATTCCTTGAGTTCTAGTAGGATAAGGATCAGCTTGTATTCCTCGTCTATGTGTTCTTTCTGGGAGTTTCTGAATTCTTTGAGATATTTTATTGTTCAAATCATATTGGTTCCCAACAGATACTCCAGGCTCAGGGTGTGCTTTAATTCCTTGTGATCTAGTATCAATATCAATTTGCATTCCTTCCGAAATTCTATTTCTAGGATACCTCTGAATTTGTTCAGATTCCTCTTCAAAATCAATTTGAATTCCTTCTGATATATTATCTTGGCTCTTCCTCTTGGTTTCAGTAGAACTATCTCCAAAATCTATCTGAATACCTTCAGAGATATTATTAGTGAACCCAATAGGTATATCACTCTCACTATCCCCAAAATCAATTTGAATTCCTTCAGATGCATTATTTTTGCCAACAGCTTGTACTCTTGTAGAGCTATCTCCTAAATCAATCTGTACACCTTCAGATGCATTATTCTTTCCCATTCTCTGCACCCTAGTTGAGCTATCTCCTAGATCTATCTGTACGCCTTCCGATGCTTTCTCCTTAACTCTCTCTTGCTCACTCTCTCCTAAATCCACTTGGTCTCCTTCATCTGCTCTCTTTTCCACCTCACTTGATCCTAAATCTATCTGTACTCCTTGAGGCATCCCTATAGAAGATTCTTTGGCATCTGCTTCACTGATCTTCCTCACTGCTGGAGCATAATACTCAACAGACTTATTCTCTATTTGCTTAAAGTCTGGCATGGAATCATCATTATGAGGTCTGATATCTGCCCTTGTATGTGTTATTCTTTCATCCATCTTCTTCTCTTCACTTATCTGAGATGAAGCCCCAACATTCTGATGCTTACTCCTACCTTTCTTATACTCAAAGGGTTTCTTTTTACCACGTCTCGGAGGATCCTTATGGTCTAAACTCCATCAAATCACGTAACACCCACATTACCCCCTTCTTCCTACTCATCCCTGTCCAAATTCCCTTTCTTCCCAAAAATCCCAGCTAAAATTTTCAAAAAATTCTCAAAAATCCAAACATAGTAACTCTCAGCAGGAATTCCGACCAAAATTGGTCTCTCAGAAAGTAGAAGTCTTGTGAATAGGAAAAGAAGTTTTAAACTGAGCTGGCATCAGTAGTGACTGGGATAGAGGGTTAAAGGGCTTAGAGAATTGTGGAGTGGCAGGTTTAGAGGAACACGGGGATGGGTTTTAGAGGCTTAGAGGGATTTTATGGGCAGGGTAGGAAATACGTTGAGTTGTGTAACAGAAAATGAAGATTTGGATTGTATAATGAGAATTTGATAGATTTTAATTACCTGGTTTGGGGATTTCTGAACTAGAAGTATTGTCCTTCTGGCCTCCGCTTAGTTGGATGCTGGAGGTAGCAGGCATGCTAGCCTTGCTGGCTTTGTTAAAGGATGAAGGAATGGGAATGGTCTGGGTTGTTTGAGTGGTAAGTGGAGGTTTTTGGGGTTTTAAGGGAGTTTTAGCCTGAGATGATGAAATTTGGCAAGCTTTGGAGGCTAATTGGACGGAAGGGGGTCGGATAGGTGGGGAAGTAGGACTCTTGGTGGGTTTAGAGGAGGGGGTTTGAAGTTCGAGAGTTCATTGGCTGATACTTTTTGTGTCAGCAGGAAGAGCATAAGAGGCATCAAGATTTTTAGAGGATGAATTTGGTGTTAAAAAGATTTCGTCCTTTAGATATTCTCCTAAAGGAGAAATTTCTAGCTCCTTCCTTTTTATTTGGCTTAGTTTATGATTCTTTTCCTGAGACTCATCTAATCCATCTTGAGTTTTATTTACTATTCTAGACTTGTCTAAAGCTGTTTTGATGTTTCTTAAATTGTTAAATTTCTGAATGGGAATGTCTCCATTATCAATGCTAGATTGTGGTTTACTCTTCTTATTATGAGAACTATTTCTCTCTTTAATTTGTTTCTCAGCTTTACCAGAAGATTGAGAGGAATCTACTTTCTGACTACTTTTCTGTTCACCACCTGTTGCAGCTTGACCCCCTTCTACAAAGCTGCTATCTTCAAAATGGACTGACTTATCGCTCTTAGGATCATGAGACTCAGTAGGAGCATCACTTTGATCATCGGCAAATTCATTATCACTTTCAAGCACAATTGTGTGTTGTTCTAAGATAGAGCTATTCAGAAACTCTACTTCTGTCGAGCTAGAGTTCGATTTGTCGTTTCTTTTCTGCCTTTTCTCAGTTTTTATGCTATCACTTTGATCATGAAATTCAGCAGGTTTGTCAAATCCACTGTCTTTGCATGAAACTCTTTCCTTAGTTTTGTGAGTCTGAGAAGGCTTCCCTTCACTTAGAGGTTCCATACTAGTTTCTGGTACATTTTTAAGGAGTTACTTTATTGATTTTAAAGTTGGCATGCTTTGAAGAAACAGCTACTTTTATGCTATTAGGAGTATTTCCATCTTCCTTTGAGTTTATATTTAAGTTATCCATACAATTTTCAGCATCTAATGGGAAGAAATCATTATTCTTGCTAATCTTCCAATTGGTTGCAACATCATTTTGCCCAGAGTATTTAATTCTTAACCCAGGCTGAGAGACCCCATTGGTTATAGTGTACCTAATCTTACCTGGAGTTCGGTCCAATGAGCGGTCTAGAGATGATTCTCAGGTCACTTACCTCCATAGGATCTCTCAGAATTGTTCTTATTATGAAAACCTTTTAAGCTCATTGCACGATCATCATAGCTAAGATTCCCAACGCCGGCTTCATGATCTTTAGAGATTTTACCTCTGACAGACATTTTCCTTGAAATAATTTTGCCTGTGTTAAAGATCTGAGGTAGTCCTTTCTCTATCTCAGCGTGAATGGAGTTTTTTAGATCAGAAGAGCTATTCTTGCTTCTTCAGAATTTCCCTCGAAATTTTGCGTTTCTTGGGAGATTCGTACGACAACTTTGAGCATTTTTAGAAATACGGAGTAAATTATACATTTTAAGCTGCTTTTGAGAGACTCTTTGACTCTTGTCTTGGTCTTAAAAATTAGAAGTCATATATTTACCAGGTTCAATGCTATTGTAGCAATTTATCGCAGAAGGATCAGGCTCGAGTGAATTAAAATGGTTGTAACTACCCTCGTCATATCAGATCTGATTTGGACAAGGAGATTTTCCTGCAACACTTGAATAGAAATTCTCACTTGTCTTATGCATGAATTGTGATTTATGAGCACCACTAAAACCTTCCTTACTAATCATAGTATTGTGATTCTCCAAACCTTTGAAAGGCAAGATTTCATCTACCACTGAATTATCAATTTCGGGAAGAGAGTTTTCTCCAATAGTCCCAGTATTTGGATTGGAAGCTTGCAAAGAATCGTTATATTCGTGATGAATATTTTCCTCTTTCTCCTGCTTTCCCTCAGTAGTCTGAGAGTCGAAAGATTCAATAAGATTAGAAGCTTTAATGAAAGGACCTTCGAGAAGGTGACTGTAGTCTCTAGATCTTAGCCGTATGTCTGCTTACCCAGAAAGAGGTTTGTTTCTATTAGACGCGTGGATAGCATCAAATGACTTGAAATTATCAGGGATTCTATTCTTATTATCTTTGATTTTCCCTCCTCTGATATTTACAGAGCTCAAGTCTTTGTTTATCCTTGTAGAGGAATTCTGTCTCTTCCCTGAAAGAACCTTCTTTGCAAGATTTCCCTTGATGCCAGGTAAAGAATATTTTAAGGCATCTATTTTCTTTCCTGGTTTCTGTATATTGGATGAAGATAAATCATAAGAAACTATAATTTAAATTTTGTAAAATTTACTTGAATGAGCTACCTTTGGTTTTGATTTAGTAGCCGGCTTATTTGATCGATAAGCTAAAGGTTTCTTGGGAATATGAGAGCTTCTTTGGCTTTGATTCCTTTCAAATTTAACTTTATTTTCAGAGTAAATTGAGAACTTTTGACTCATAACATCAGAGTTAACTGAAGTTCTCTTTTTCAATGATGTCTCGTCAATAATGCTACTAGATCAACTAGAAGTATTATCTTCCATGGGACTTTCAATGATTTCAGGAATAAATTCAGATCCCATGAAGAACTCGTGTTTATTTGTCGTTGGGCGTATACCTTCATTAATTATATTCTCATTGTTCAAGTCAAAAATCTGATCTATCAAAAGTAAATATTCAAATACTACCATTCATAGTATCACAGCTTTCTCTAGGATACTCATCCCCCCTCTTCAAAACATTCCCTCTATCCTCCATAACCTTCTTCATCCTCTCCTTCTCTTCCCTCACCTGATTCCTCTCACACACCCTAAAGCCCTAACTTCAATCCCAACCCAACTCGCTTACCTCTCCACTGACTCATCCCCCCATCCACTACTCTCCAAATCCCCACTTCTCTTCCTCTTCTTCACTAATCCCCCATTTCTCTTCCTATTCATCTTAAATATTTCTATTTTATTCCTTCAAAACGGGGTTTTGGGGTTTTGGGGTTTTGGGG